CTGGGATTCATGACATATTTCATATGTCTCAACTTAAAAAGTACTAACCAGATCTTTCTCACGTAATTGAGCCTAAATAAGTAGAGCTACAAGAGAATATGGCCTACAAAGCAGAACCAAAATGAATAGTAGATGTGAAAGATAAGCAGTTAAGAAATAAGACTATTCAACTGGTAAAAGTGTTCTAGAAGGTATGACTCCTGATAACGCAACATGGGAGATAGAAACTAAAATGAGGTAGTAGTATCCTAGCTTGTTTCCTTAGGTAAGTGTGTGCACTAGTAGTTGTTTCAATTTTGGGGACAAAATTCTTAAAAGGAGGGGAGAACTATAAAATCTTGAATTTCTAATCCTGCATTAATGATTGATTACAGAATGAATCAGTGATTTAATGCAAGAATAGGATTTTAGATAGTAAAGTATTATTTTAACTCAATGGGATAATATGTAAGCAGATGTGAATAGAAGAACAGCATCCTGAAGCAAAGCGTGTGAGTGCAATGAGGATTTTCCTCACTGTACCACGCGTCGCGGTAGAGGATGGATGTACTGCGGCACTTGGAGCAGAGTTTTGATAAATGATAATGTATCCAGCTTGTGAAAAATAAAAGAGAAAAGGAGAAAAGTGAGGTTTGGTGAGGAGAAGAGAGGGGAGCTTTGCTAGGGCTTTAGTTTTTGAGAGAAAGGATGACGTTCTGACCTGTTACTTATCGAGTAAGTCTTATGCTACCTTAATGTCTAATTCTACCCTATTTTTCTCTTAGATTTAACTATCGAGAAATTGAATTCAGAAATTTTAAGGAGTTGATTTCTTATCCTAAAGTAATAGAAAAGTCCTTTGGGACTAAACTAGTACTTTGTGACTGGTTTGAGTCAGAACGATAAAGCTTTATGGGTATAGGCTCAATTTTACCTAATTTAGAGAGAGTGTAATGAGAGAAATCTAACTAGGTAACAATTAGAGCGTTTATTGAATGATAACTGGTTGTAATATGTGTGAATGAGTTTGAGTAGATGAAGTGGTAGCAATTGGGTATTAAATTTCTATAATTGGCACTTTTGTCAATGGTGAGATTGACTTTAGTTTGCCAATTTGGTATGCATGTTATATTGTGTATATTACTAGTCAATCAAGTGTACATTGTCTAATTGGATGTAGTCAAGGCCCTTAAGTTGGCCAATGACTTGTGGTTTCAATTGGTGATACTCAAATGGCAAATTTTGGCACAAAATGGTTAAAATGCACTTGAGTGTCCAATTTTCAAATGGAGTATCAGATTGAAATGAAACTAGTGTCATAGGTTAGATTTTGAAATAAGCTTCATATGGGTACTTAAATCACCCCAATTGGACGTCGAATGAGAAAACCACACACCTTTAAAGTTCATATTAGAATTTAAAATTTGATAGCAGATTCTGATATGTGCACCACAGCACGTGTGTCAACGAAGGACAACATGCTGTGGCGCACAACACAGAGAGTGACACTGGGGTCTCTATGCGACATGTTGTGGCACATGTCACATGAGCCACGGCACGTGGCCCCTATTTTGATTTAATTTGATTGAATTGCATATATTTTCTAGTTGATTTTGAAGTGCAATTTTGTAATGCTTCCACTGCGTAATATTTTACAACTCGTATATATATTATTAAATGATTTTAGAACGTTTTTTTACATTGAGATCCCAAAGTTTTCAAGTTAATTATTTTGATTAGTAGTTTACGTGGAGGGTTGTATGGTAATATTGTTGAGGGTATTACAAATAGTTGGTATCAGTTTCTCGAGTTTCAAGATCTGGTTACTATGATTGTTTCTTGCATTCATCCTAGACCTTGGCTGGTAAGGCAGAGTATATTTGTGATTCCCAATCATGTGGTGAGGTGGAGCATCATATGTGAGAGTTGAATGTCAAAAGTAGAACAAATCTATATGTATATGTGATTGTTTGTGTATTCCTTATATAAGCCCACAATTGTGTAATGCGGCATTGAGAAGTCAAAATGGGCAATTGATGTGATATATGTGATTAGAAGTTTCAATCAAGTATATATGGTCCTTTTAAATTTGGTTCAAGGCTCGAAGTGGTTAATGGGGCAAGAAATGAGAATTAAGCATTTGGGATGTAAGTTCTGAAAGAAAAAGTAGCCTTTTGCACCTGAGTATCTAATTTTAGATCAGATAGTCGAATCGAATCCAAACTTGTCTCATTAAATAGAATACGTTATAAGTTTTGTTTGGGTGCTTGAATCACTTTAATTGGACATCAGATATGGAAATGACACGCGACAGAAGTTTGTCTTTTGAGCTGTCATATGCACCACAGCGCATGGCACCAAAGAAGAACAGAGCACATTGCTCTATACTGCATGGCACTTTTTAAGGGAAAATGTGGTGTTTCATTGAGTCATAGATTTGTGTTTACGCTTCCAGTAGCCCTCTTATTAACATATGTTTAACAAAGTCGAGATCCCACATTTCCAAAACAATTCAAGGGCTATTACTCTGATATTAAGTCATTGTTGTTTAATGACTGTGGATTTGAAAATAGTAAAGTCTGGATTAAGTAGGGACTTTACAATAAAGGAGATAAGTTAGAGGAAAGCACAACAACAAGTATAAAGGATTGTAAATGATCATAGTCCAAGACTGATGGTCTAAAGGATCTATAATAGGTATAGAATCAAGCTCCTCATATCTAACTTCTCCCTTTTTGTCTTGCAACCTAGTGCCCTTCTCCTTATTGATTTCCATATCAGTAGCTCTAACCCCTTTCTCTTGTTTAGCACCCTTAACATCCAGTGGTTTAGGTGAGGTGGAAGATAAAGGTTCAGGATTTTTAGAGAAAGGTTTAGAAGGTTTATGGGTTTTGGTTTTGGGTTGGCTCTTCTTCCTCATAAAAGTGTTAATTATATATTGATCAATGCGAAGAGTTTGTTGAGATTTTAGAGAGGTGAAGGAAGTGGTTTGGTTCTATTGAGTGGAAGCCTCAACCAGGCCCTTTGTGAGTTGTTAGTACTTAAGTTTGATGGTTTGTTGGATTTTGGTAAAGATGGGAGTTTAGGTTTAGGAGGGCCATTGAATAGGTGGATCACAATTTCTATTTTTAATTGAGGTTTGGTTTGGTGTTTAGGTTGCTGAGTTTCTAGTTGACTTTCAACTTGTTTTTCTTATTGATGAGGTGAGGTAGGTGGAGTAGGAAGGTTCAATGGTGATTGTCTGGAAGGAGAGGAGGTAGGTGAGCCAAGGCTTAGTCTGGTCTTGGCTTTAGGTAGTCCAGCAGGACTTTAGGTGGAGGTTGAGGATGTTAGCACTTGCATTAAAGCCTCTTTTCTTGGCTAAGATGGACCAAATTTAGTCTTTGCATCTTCAATCTTCAAACGCTTCATGATTTTATCCACCTTAGCACTTAACTTTTCTTGCCTATCATGAAGCGCCAATCCCAGAGATATTCTCATTCATGCAGTGCACATCTTCCATTGTAGACTCATGAGTACCTTTGTAAGGAACTCATTTGTAATTAGTTGTGTGAAGTTAGGCATTAGTATATCATTGGTATTGTTAAAATCCCAATTACAAATCATGGCCCTTGAAAATCTTTATAGCGTTAATTGAGAATTTACAAAATTTCGCTATGAATCTTAAACCAATCAACAAAAAATAATTTATTACAAGTAAGGACCATAATCTGTTATTAAAATTTCAATAATTCAAGATCTATAATTGTCATTAATCTTCTTATGGAGTTCCTAATTATCATTTTTCCCGTTGAAAAAAGTTATTTGTAAAGATAATTTGGGGCATGTGGAATTAAATCTTTTTTACCATGAAATTAGTTGATCAGGTATATTTTAACTATTCTCATACCATCCTAGCGAAATTATATGTTGATTCTTATACATGTATATGCATAATGTTGTATTGTATGTTGGCCAAAATAAATCTCTTGTAGCATATGCTGATGTGTTTCATTTCATTTTCTTTTATAGCATTTTCAAGACATGGAGGAACACTCGGACTAAAAGTAGAAGGAAGATGGTTGCAAGTTTAACAAAAAGCAACTTAGAAATGATTTGATGGTAAAAATGGATTTCAAGCCATACCACAATTGTCAACTTTTAGGTATTTGCAATCGATAATTATAAATGATGAAAATATTACAGATAGAATACACGTTAGATTATTAAAATGAATTATCAAAAAATACTTGTGATGGCAAAGTTACCTACTAGATCTTAAAAAAAATCAAAACACTTTTAGATCAACAGGCAATAATATTATAAGGTAGTGATTATTGGCTGTTGAAAGGCTGGAAAAAAAGAGTGGAAGATAGTAGAAGAGAATGGTGGCATAGATGATAGATGTGTGGTCATAAAAAAAGAAAAAATGTGATTGTTAAAGAAAAAGTTGGGATGACATCCATTAATGAGATGATAAATTAAAAACATTCATTCAAGGTCATTCAAAACGAATGTAGACAGATGCACCCATGACGGTTGACTACACAATCATAGGATGCCAAGAATGACATTGAGAAAAGCTATTAATTGCGACAAATTGGGAAAAGAACAAATTAGTTTAGAATTAAGTTTTTTTTTTTTTCCCTAAGGAGCTTTTGATACGCTCAAGTCAATAATGATATAAAGATATCCATTAACTTGAAAATAAAAACTGGCCAAAACTTCATGGACAACATCAAGCTATTTGAACATATTTGAGAAGGTTGACCTCTCATAAAATTAACGAGTCCTTTCACTATTGTCAATTTAAAGATAGCAAAAGCTTCTTTTAACCCTTTGGTTAATAATCTGCGGATTTTTACAGCATTCCAATGGATACGGTTTCGCTACTGGCCTCATCACACTGAGGTATATATTTGTTGTCAAGGATGGGTTTAAAGGATTGCATTGCTTAGAATACCATGCCCATGCATACGGGTTTTAATTAAACAGTAAAATATAATGGCATGCACGAGGGAGAGCTACAACACGACTTAGTCTGCTGTAAAAACTGAACAAAAATTTCAATAATCCAGTAGCTACAGACATGACATTGATCCGAGGATGAGAATTGACAACGACGACCAATAATGATTGAAACTTTTTGCAAGGTCTAACATTATGGGGTTAACCTTTGTAGATATTTAGAATTAACAACGATCAAGTCATATGGCACGAGAATAAATCATAAGCTGTGGGTGTCGCTTAAATCCCTGCCTAGTTGATTCTAGATGTGTCCATTAGAAAATAGGAACAAAGTTTGTCTAGGGCTTAATTGTAGAAGGAATGCACGACCACTTCCCCATAATGACTTTATTACCTAAAGTACAGTCAACGATAAACAGTTATCCTGGGGCTAGCCAGCAATTATTTAGGATTTTTAACCTCCTTGAGAATTCTTACTCGACTGAGAATAGTGCTTTTGAGAATCAAACTCAGGAAACCAATGCGGGCCAACTTTTTCCGGGGGTAGGATTGTCGAGGAGCTCATTGATGATTGCTGACCTGGCATGGACTTCACATTGTAATGAAACGAAATATCACCCCGAGATAAGCTGGGAGGTCCAAAATCAGGCAACATTGGGCTAGCATCCTTCTGCCCACAAAAGTTGTTAGCAGGTTCCTGGAAGCATCCTTGAATTGATAAGTTTTCCTCTACAGGTATTGCACCTGTGAGAGTCTTATATGCAAATTCTAGACATGGGTCCGACCAAGAATCCACAAGTGGAGAAGAAAACTGCAAGTCAGACTTATGCTGCCTTTCAATTCGAGTTTCAAGTTGTGGCTGCTTGGCCGGACCAGATTCTTGCCCAAGAACCTTGCCAATATTGTAGGATGACTCTTCGAGTTTTGATGGATCTACATTTCTAGATTGATTGGCAATTTGAAATTCATTTCCAGCTCCAATATTCAGGGATGCTCTTTCATCCAAATTAGTGGTTATATTGGCTTCATCACCATGGCATTCTTTTGCAAAAAAATTAGTCGTATTTTCACAAGATGTAGAACTGGTTCTCAGCTCAGCATGCCCTAGAAGATCCTTTGAAGGCTGGCAGACCATTTCACAAGATATAGAGTTGATCAATAACTCAGGTTGACCCAGGAATTCTTTTGAAGGGTGGAAAATCTCATTAATATCTACACACTTCTGTGATTGGTTCAAATTCCAAGTTATCTTGGCATCATCACCATAAGATTCTATAGAAGCAAATTTAGGAGCATGTTGACAGGATGTGGAGCTGATAAATGACTCAGGTTGATCTGGGAGTTGTTTTGAAAGTTGGCAAACCTTATTAATATCTTCGTTATTCTGTGATTGTTTCATGTTATCAAGAGCTTCTTCATTAATGCAGTTCTCTACCACACTCTCAAGCAATCCTGTATTTGGTGGACAATTAAGATCAGGAGTTATGACAGGCAAAATTTCCTCAGCACCATCCACTGGCAATGCACCTGTGAGAGTCTTGACTGCAAATTCAAAGCATGTATCTGACCAAGAGTCCCCAAACGGTAAGGATAGCTCCGTCTCAGACCCCTCCTGGACTTTTTCAGCTTCAACCTTCTGTAACTGTTCACTGGGATCAATTTGAACTTCATTTGAATTCTCATTCTTGTTTAATGACTCTCCATGTGCTCTACTTTCGGGACATGTGGAGGCTTGAAGATCAAGCTGTGTCTCTTCCCCAAAATCAATATGCTTCAATGCTCCATTGCCTGAAGTTGCAGTAGCAGTTAGTTCATCTTTGCATGACTTTTTAGATGATGCATATTCAAGAGCTCTATCAGAAGGTGCTGTTTCAGGTTCATGGCCAGCAAGTCGCTTTGATAACCTGCGAGGCAAAGTAGGCTCTTTCTTACTCTTGGATTTCTTTGGAGTAACTTGTCGATTTTTGTCATTGCAGCCTTTAATAAAAATCTTGGACAATCTAGTTTTATCATCCGCATCTGCTTCAGGAACCAAAACAGGCCTCTGACATTCCGTAGTATTCTTGGGCAATTTAGTTTTATCAACGTAATCTGTTTCAGGAACCAAAACAGGCCCCTGACCTTCTGTAACATTCTTGGACAACTTAGTTTTATCAACATCATCTGTTTCAGGAACAAAAACAGGCTCCTTGTGAACTGAATCCTCAACTGGTAATGCACCAGTGAGGGTTTGAATCGCAAATTCCACAGATGGATCAGACCAAGAATAGTGAAATGCAAAGGATAGTTGAGGTTCTGACTTCTCATCATCCAACTGTTTCTCTCCAAGTTTCTCTTGTTCACAAGTTCTGGGTCGGACTTTACGTGAACTTTTGCTCCTCCCTGATGACTCTCCAACTCTTGGCACATTAATAGAGGTAGAAGCATGATATGCGGGCTCCTTAGATGGAATACTGCCAATTTGATGTGATTCTGCATTGGCCACAACTTTAGACTTTTTAGCCTTGTATTCAGGAGGTTTGTCACATAACATGGAGCCAGTAATATCAGGTTCATATCCAGCTAGTCGTTTTGAAGCTCGATAAGGAATGTGATGAACTTTCTCGTTACTTGATTTGTTACCTGATTTTCTAATGTCACCTGCATTCAGTTTGTTTTCTATTAGGAGACAAGTTTCAGAAGTCAAGCCAAGACCAATATCACGATTATCCATAATTGGTAAGTCACCTGTTGGCTTTGTTGTACCATTCAAGTTTTGGGAGCTATAATCATTGGATAGAGAACTGTGATTTGATTGCTCTCTGAAATCTCTTTGGTCATCAGAAATTCTGTTGCTTTTGTTTTCTAACTCACCTGGTATATCACGCGTGTGCTCAATTTTTAGGACAGCATTGAGTTGTTGAGACAATACATTTGCTGAATCAATATCTAGAGCAGTTCTACCTTTCCTCAAGCTCCTCTTTGGAACAAAAAGAGACTGTTCATGGACGATGATATCAGAATCAGACACCTGGTCAGGTTCAGCTCTAGCAAGTCGTCTTGAAAATCTGTGAGGCACACTCAATCCTTTCTTGTTGGATATGCCAGGGCTTCTGTGTTTCTTTTCATCAGCATTCTTCAATGCACCTGGAACATAATTTTTTTCTCGCACATCAGCTGCCGGAGATAAGTAAATGTTCAGCTTCAGAATCATAGGATACAATTTTTAACAGCGGTGAGGTACCTGGATCAGATGTTCTATTCATTTCTGGAGCGTTTGCAGCTGCATCCTCAAGTGAATGCATTTTCACAACAGCTTCAACAGTCTTCACATTATGCCCTTTTACTGAACTGTTGGTATCAGACAATTCTGTGCTTTTTTTTTTAGATATCTTTCTGCCTGGAAAAAAAAAAACATGTTAGGAATAAGCTACAGGCATAAAAGGCATATTCTGAGTTTCGATAAACTTGTGATACAATTGATCAATGAAGACCAATATTGTCACCATGATGTACCTAGAAAAAGCTGCCGTTTGGTTGCAGGCTGCTTTAATTTCTGTCTTTTAGCTGTAGATGACGGCTGAAGAGGACAAAGCATAAGTGAAAATTTTAAATTATTCTTACTCAAATACTCACATGCAAAGTTGACCTCTTTGTTTTGATTGATTGCAGGATAGAAATCATACAATACACTTGGATTTTAGACTATCAATGCCAAGGAATGTGTGTACTAGACATGTGAGGTAAAATAGTATTTGAGGAACAGAAGATATCGTAGGCTGATACTACGGGTGAGACAAGGTTGTCAATAAATGGAACAAACTTAAATACTCTTAAGAAATCACCAACATAAAATTAATTTTTCTATTAAATGAGAAAAAAGCACATGCTTAACAGATTAGCTGAAAGATCATCCACCGAAGACCAGTATATGTTAGGTTTAGAAGCTAAAATTCAAATAACAGTTCCAAAACTAATTTATATGTCGTTTAAAAACGTCTCAAGATATTGCTGATGTGATTGAATGATATTTCTCCCGTTTTGTAATCACTAGATTGTTTAGACACTCAGTTGAGAACCACTTGGAAAAGGATATGGATTTAAGTGTTCCCAAAAAAAAAAACAAAAAACAAAATATAAACTAGTAACTTAGTGCTTATCTTAACGAGCAAAACAAGCTTACAGTGGAACTGTCTTCATCTTCAATATGTCTTTTTGTTGGTTTATACAGACATTTAGTTATATCTCCAGATTCAACATAGCGCCATGCATCCTTCTTGGAACGGAATACATAACCATTCACTGGATCTGTATAGTACTGTAGAAATTGCAAACCAATCAGAACTTATTCACACATTAAGCACATCAGAAACTGTAAATACAGAATAGTGGGGTTAGGGATGGGTACAACGCATAAACAATACCAAACATTAAATCAAATTTCATACTGGGTCTTTCCTAATGCCACTGCCGTTCTTCCTAATCTTGACTTCTTTTATCCACCCAGGAGGTAAATCATCAGCTGCAGACTTCCCAGTTTCAACCTAAAGCATTCCAAAACTATTTAAAACAAAAGTACATGCCAAATAATAATTCAAGAAAATGAACTTCTAGTGATAATTGATACACTACACAGCCAGTTCATTCCATGGTTGTTAAAAAAGGGATTTGACTCATGGACTCACATGCTTTCATGTTCTTACATATCTATACCTAGCACTGTTTTGAAAACTGGACCGGACTGGCCGGTCGGACTGGTCGGACCGTCGACCGGTCTGGTTTCCGGTCTGGTTCAAAGGAAAAAACCGTTTTAAGAGTTGAGCCGGTTTGAGCCGTTTCGAACCGGCGGTCGGACCGAGAACCGGAATCAAGCCGGGAACCGGATCCGGTTTTCAAAAACCGGACTGTTCAAAAAAAACTTTTTTTTATTTTTTATCAAATTTTTTTAAAAAAATGACTAATTTTTTTAATCATTTGATATTATATTGTATCATATGGCTTGTTAGGTCATGACAAACTTAAAGTATTTGATTTTTTTAAATTAAATAGCAATTTCATATATATTTCTTATATTTAAATTATTATATACATATATAATTTTTTTAATTTAATTATTACGTCACTGGTTGGACCTGGTCCAACCGGTTGAACCATGCGAACCGTGAACCGCTGACTTTTCCGGTTCAATATCCGGTCCGGTTCTGAAAACATTGATACCTAGTTAACTCTTAAATAGAAATAGTAACGTACAAACTCAAAAAGAAACTTGCATAAAATCATAGTTACGAGGTGAAATCATCAATTTTTTGATGAGTTCACAAGTCGTGTATTTAACCTTCCTTATTCCTTTATCATCATCAGACTTGTCACTGGAAGCCAATGGAGTGGCTCACTATTGGCTGCTTTGGAATATTGCAACCCTTCACGGATGTTGCTCACTACTTATACTTATTACTAGAGGATGGTTGTGGGAATATTATGTCATTATTGTGAATAATTAGCATTTATTGTCATTATTAGGCTTTATTAGCATTTATTAGGTTTTACCTCAATTGATGTATATATATATATAGCTTCAGTTTATACATTAGAATATACATGAATGAAAAATACACTTTTTCTCTCTCAAAATACCAGATGATATCAAAGCTTTAGGCTCAAAAATTCAAATTTAGTTTAGGAATAGTTGGAATGAGACTTTCTAAACAATACGTGACGGCCTTTGTGTGGACAATGGTGAAGGGAGTTGTGAATCTCACTGCCACCCTAGACATACTAAGGAGGCTCCGAACAATGAAACCGAGGATAGCAACGGCGAATAGTGGTGCGTGTGGACCACTGTTTTGAAAACCGGACCGGATCGACCGGTCGGACCGTCGACCGATCTGATTTTTGGTCTGGTTCAAAGGAAAAAACCGTTTTTAAGAGTTGAGCTGGTTTGAGCCGTTTCGAACCGGCGGTCGGACCAGGAACCGGAATCAAGCCGGGAACCGGATCCGGTTTTCAAAAACCAGACTGTTCAAAAAATTTTTTTTTTAATTTTTTATCAAATTTTTTTAAAAAATGACTAATTTTTTTAATCATTTGATATTATATTGTATCATATGGCTTGTTAGGTCATGATAAACTTAAAATATTTGAATTTTTTAAATTAAATAGCAATTTCATATGTATTTCTTATATTTAAATTATTATATACATATATAATTTTTTTTAATTTAATTATTACGTCACCAGTTAGACCATTGGTCCAACCGGTTGAACCATGCGAACCATAAACCGCTAGCTTTTTCGATTCAACGTCTGGTCCGATTCTGAAAACATTGGTGTGGACCACATGTGCCACCCTGTAAACTAGGTCAGCAAGCTTCCGGTGGCACGTGGCGGTGAGTATTAGCTCCGTTCAGAACACAATCTCCTCAAAAGACAACAACACACTCTCTCCGGCTAGATCCAGGACAATCTGGCATATGGGTACATCGTTTTCGAACCATATCAATCCGTATGGTGTTGTTAGTGCCTTGTTTTGTTGAGTTTGGAGTTATATTAGGTTGTGGCTTCTATTTTCAGTCTATTATGAAGTCTTTTCCTTTTTTAAAGTGCTATGTATACTCCTCTGTAGTGTCGTGACTAATTTTTCCAGATCTGCACCTCTAGCATTAGTGGTAAAAAAAGGTCCCTTTCTTCAAGCTTTAAGGACAACTCGGAGTGCAGTGGTTTGGATTGTGGATTCCGGGGCATCCGATCATATGACTAACTTTCATCAATTGTTCACCACTTACACCCCGTGTGCTGGAAATGTTAAAGTGAAAATTGCAGATGATTCCTTAGCACCTATGGTAGGGAAAGGGAGCATCCGTATATCAGATTCTATTGTTTTGGAATCTGTTCTCCATGTGCCAAAGCTTGATTGCAAATTTCTTTCAATCAATCAGTTGACTAAGCAACCAAATTGTTTTGCCAAATTTCTCCCATCTCATTGTGTGTTTTAGGACCTATCATTTGGTACAACAATGGGCAATGCTAAGGAGTATGAGGGGCTCTATTATTTAAAGGTCATTACTCAAGTAGAAACCTCACCTATTTTTAGTAATTCTGTGTCTACCTCTAACATTAATAATTTTATGTTATGGCGTAAGAGGATGAGTCATCCTAATTTTCATTACCTTCAACGATTGTTTCCAACCTTATGCCCCAACCTGAATTATAGTGAAATCCAGTGTGAGATGTGTGAACTTGCCAAACACCATCAAACTTCCTTTCCCAAAGCCAAATACACACCCACCAAACTTTTCAAAATCATTCACAGTGACCTGTGGGGGCCATTTCGTACTCCAAACCATACTCAAAGAAAATGGTTCATTTCCTTCATTGATGACTAGTCGTATTTGTTTGGGTTTACCTTTTAAAGAACAAGTCTAAGGCTGCATCCCATTCATGAGTTTCTTCACCATGATCAAAAAGTTTCTTCATCCACATTCAATACTAGCACCCAAGTCTAGCACAATGATAATGGTACTAAGTGCTTCAACTAGTCTTTGAGTCATTTCCTCCAAATGCATGGTATTGTCCATACAAGTACTTGTGCCCACACCCCTCAACAAAAAAGGGTTGTAGAAAGAAAAAATAAACATATCCTTGAAGTTGCAAGAGCATTCATGTTCACTTGCAATGTGCCAAAGTTTTATTGGGGGATGTCATTTTAACCACAACCTATCTCATCAATCAAATGCCCAATCGAATCTTATCCTTTAAAACTCCTCTCCAAAAATTGCAAAGTGTTTTTCCTACATCCCACATTGGAACCAAACTTCCGCTTCAAGTATTTGGTTGCACAACCTCTGTTCATATCCACCAAAACAGTAAACTCGAACCTCGAGCTATCAAGTGCATCTTTCTTGGCTATTCTCCTACTCAAAAAGGATACAAATGTTTTGATCCTGTTTCTAAACACACCCTTGTAAGCCTCAATGTTACCTTCCATGAAGAAACTCCCTTTTATTCCAATTCTTCAATTCAGGGGGAGAATATAGGTGAATCTCAGACTTCGGAACTAGCACCTTACACAGAATATGTACTTCTTAAGCCCTCACCAGAATCATTACCCTCACCATCTTTTCCGTCAAACACCCCACCTTTACCAACTCTTCTCTTATGCCAAAGTTTGGAGAACAAGAAAACAGAGGGAGATGTAGAAAGACCACAAAAGGAAGAGTCATTGGTTTATACTCGAAAGAAGAAATCAAAAGATAGTAAGCAACTTGTATCTAAGGCATCAAGAGAGTCAGAACCAGAGGTAGTTCTTAAAGTTGAAGTACCAAGGACTAATCCATCTAGTAAGCCAAATGATTCAGAACAAGGAAGTGAATCTGCTGAACTTGATCTTCCTATTGCTCTCTGGAAACCACCTCGGACTTGTACCTTACATTCGATTCAAAAGCATGTATGCTACAAGACTCTCTCTCCTGGTTATTAGGCCTTCATCACTAATTTGGATAAAATTGTTATTCCTAACAACATCCAAAAGGCACTGGAAATACCAGAATAGAGAAATGCAGTTATAGAGGAAATGAAACCTTTGGAGAAAAATGAAACACAGAGATTGTTGAGAGACGTAAAGGTAAGAAATTAATTAGTTGCAAGTGGGTCTTTATCCCAAAGTATAAGGCTGATAGCACACTTGACAAGTTAAAGGCACGATTAATAACAAGGGGTTTCACCCAAACATATGGTATAGACTACAACGAAATGTTTTGTACCAATGGCAAAACTATATACTATCAGAATTCTATTGTCAGTAGTAACCAACCTTGAATGGAAACTTCATCAACTAGATATCAAGAATACCTTTTTAAATGGAGAATTGAAGGAATAAGTCTACATGACTCTAACTCTGGGGTTTGATAGAAGCAAAAGTGACAAAGTATGTTGGCTAAAAAATCTCTATATGGCTTGAAACAGTCACCTAGAGCATAGTTTGACAAGTTCTCAAAGGTCCTAAAGTTAAGTTACAAACAAGGATTATTAGATCATACGATGTTTGCTAAGGCTGAGGGAGCAAAGAAGTGCATCCTTATTGTGTATGTAGATTATATAATTCTTACATGAGATCATGTTAAGAAAATAACAAGGATAAAGACTATCCTTGGTAAGGAATTTAAAGTCAAGGATTTCAAGAACTTGAAGTATTTTCTTAGAATGGAAGTTGCAAGGTCAAAATGAGGCATATATATATATCTCAGAGGAAGTACGTACTTGTCTTCTCAAGGAAACTAGCATGTTAGGCTGTAAACCTAAAGAAACTCCTATTGTGGTCTCAAGAAACAAGCAACCTAAGAAAAACAATAAGGAGGAGTTAGAAGGAGAAGAAAACTCTAATAATGAGGTTAAAGAGGACAACGACAATGAAGAAGAAGAAACGGTTGATAAAGACAGATATCAGAGATTAGTTAGAAAGTTCATTTATCTATCCATTACAAGGCCAAATATTGCTTTCGTGGTCAATGTAACAAGTCAATACATGTGTGATCCAAGGAAGAAACAC